AACTCTGTATTGTCTGTATTGTGCTTGTGATATGTTGTAAAATGTTGTATGTCTGTTAATGTTTCCCTCCTTATATCCTTAAAATAAAAAAAAAAAAAAAACTAAAACACTAATCCTCTTCTAATACCCTAAATGTTCCCAATAATTCTGTTTACTTTTTTGTTTCACACTATACCCTCTACTTGGTAGTCTCATAATTTTAATGTTCCCTTTCATCATGGTGACTTCCAAATCTTTATTTCTCTCAAGAAGCCTCTATCAAGCAAACACCAATGGACATAGCTAGTTGATATATCCAACAGACATCAAAATCAATGTGTCTACAGCTGAACTATTTTTATTTTACTAATTAGCGTGTCCTATACTCTACTAGTAATATGCTAATGGAACTTTCACTCAGTAATACACTAGTCAATCTTCATTAATATAAATGTGGGAATCATAATAGCCTTTTATTTTATTCTTATTACTATAACTGATTTATCAAATACTACTGATGATATTCTTAAATAATTTTGAAAAAGTATCTCCTCATCTCCATTTCAACTACATTTGTTGCTGTCCTAGTATTTTTGCTCATTTATTCAAATAACCACAGAAGTGTATATTAGAAAAGAAGAAAAAGTTTCAAATCCATGACTTTAGCTTCTGCCTTAGAAACTAGAGAAGGAGGGCCGGGGATATAGCTCGGTGGCACAGCGGCTGCCTGGCAAGCGCAATGTCCTGAGTTCGATCCCAGTACAAAAAAGAAAGAAAGAAAGAAAGAAAGAAAGAAAGAAAGGAAGAAAGAAAGAAACTAACTAGAAAGGGGCAAGTTAAATCAATGCATACACAAAGAAGAGAAAAAGAATAATGTAAAAAACAGAAAACAGGAAAAAAATCAGTGAAACAAAAATTAATTCATTGAGAAGAATTTAAAAGTTAATATGCTGCTAGTTAAGTCAACCAGAAAAGAAGAGGAAATATACAAATTACTAATATCAGGGATAACAGAATTGACACTGTAAGGTACTCTACAAATATTAAAACAATAACAAGGGAATAATATGAATAATGTTAAAACAATAAGTATGATAAATTAGAAGAAATGGATACATTCTTTGGAAGGTGTAACACACCAAGACTCATCCAAGAAGAAACAGATAACCAGAATGTCCCTCTATCTGTTAATTATTTTGTGTTTTTAGGGCAGGGAATTAAGACCCAGGGTTCCACCATGCTAGGAAAGAGCTCTACAACTGAGCTAAACTTAAATTGTAGTTTGAAGTCTTCCCAGAAAGAAAACCCTTGACTTAGATGGGTTATTAGTAAACTTGATTAAATAATTAGAAAAGAAATATTAATTCTGTCCAAATCATTAAGAAAAGTGAAGAGGAAGGAATATACACACATGTCATTAGGTCAGCATTACCTTGTTTCCAACATGCAAAGACATTTAAAGAAAACCAAGGCAGGTGTGGTGGCCCATGCCTATAATTCAAGCTCTTTTTGGAGGCTGTGGCAGAAGGACTGAAAGTTTGAGGACAGCTTGAGCAACTTAGCAAGACCTTGTCTAAAATAAAAAATAAAATAAAATAAAATAGACCCAGAATATAGCTCAGCACTAGCTGGGTTTGCACCCCATTACAAGAAAGGACAGGGGAGGAGAAGGGAGTGGAAAAAGAAAAGGAAAAAGAAGGAGGGGAAAAAGAACCCTAAAAACCAGAGTTCTAAAATTTAAATGGAAAAAAAAAACCTAAAGTATTCAGTGACATAAAAACAGAAACAAAAACAACAAAATCCATCATGACCAAGAGGGATTTATCTAACCCAGGAATCCAGGATTGAGCTAATATCTGAAAATAAATCAGTGTAACTCATAATATTAACAAACTGAAAAGAAAATAACTATGTGACATCAATTAATGTAGAAAAGGCATTTCATTGAATGCAACACCCATTCCTGGTAAAAAACTCAACAAACTAGGAGTATGAGGAAACTCCCTCAACCTGATACAGGTCATCTACAGCAGATTCACAACTAATATCATACTTACGGGTGAAACACTGAAATTCCTCCCCGCCTAATGAATGAGTTCAGCAATGACTAATGAATGAGTTCAGCAAAAAAAATTGGGACTAAGACAAGGATATCTACCCTTGCCACCCCTACTCAACATTATACTGGGATATCTGCCAAGGGCAATTAGGCACAAAAAATAAGGAAAAGTCATCCAAGTAAAAAAAAAGAAGCTGTTCTATTTACAGAAAACATGAGCATCCATGTAGAATATTCCATATCTTCAAAAAGCTACTAGAACTAATAAGTTTAGCAAGACTGTAAGGTATAGATCAATATCTAAACACTAACTGTATTTCTATATATTAGAACCAAAGCATCAGATATTAAATTAAAACTAAGCACAGACACAACAACATGCAACATGTAATAATATGCAATACTTAAGGATAAATATGCAAAATTTGTATAGTGAAAACTACAAAATATTGTTGAGGTAATTAAAGAAGATCAAGTAAGAATATATTTTGGTTTTAGAAGGGAAGACCTAATATTATGATATAATCTTACCTATATTTTTCTATAAACTCAGTACGATTTCTACAATAATATAATCTGTCTTTCTTTTTCTGTAGATGGTGACAAATTACATTTATGTGTAAATGTAAAGGAACGAGAATACCAGAATAGCTTTAAGAAATAACAACTTTAGAGAGCTACTACCACTTGATTTCAAAATGTATAGTAAAAGCAAGATAGTGTTTTACCAATGTAAAAATCTGGAAAAAAAAGTATCAGTGGAACAAATTAAAGAATACAGAAACAGACCCACAGATGTACGGGCAAATGGTTTCTCATGCAGATACAAAGGTAAATAAATATTACAAGAATAGATTTGTAAATGTTAGCTGGACATGGAGGCAAAGAGCTGCAATCCCACCTAGGCAGGAGGCAGGAGGATAACATGTTTGAGGCCAACATGGCCAATTTAGTGAGACCCCTGTTTCAAATTTTTAAAACAGGGGGTTCGGGGAGCTGGGGATGTAGATCACTGGCACAGCACCATTGGGTTCAATCTCCAGTACAGCAAACAATAGCAGCAGCAACAATAACAGCAAAAAATAGCTGTGGGAAAGATGGTATCCATTAAAAAAAACCTTTGGAAAATTCAAACTCCCCAAAAGCTATCTCCAGAAAACCTTAGTTAATATCACACTAAAAGATAAAAGACTAAATGCTTTCCCCAACATCAAGAATAAGACAAGATATCCACTGGCACCACTTCTATTCAAATTTTAATAGTTGAGAATTGTAGTCAGGATAACTGGGCAAGGAGTGACAAAAAGCATCCAGACTGAAAGGAAAAAATAAAACTATATTTGTAGATAATATGATTTTATACTATGAAAATCCTAATGCATACAAACACAAAGGAACTATTAGAACTAATGAATGAGTTTAGCAAGGTTACAAAGTAAAAGATGAATAAAAGAAATTCAGTTGTATTGATATAATAGCAATACAAAATTTGAAAGTTAAATTAAAATATTTATAGTAGTTTAAAACAGAATAAAATATTAAGGCCCTCATTCAACAAAAGCAGCAAAAGACATGTTGAAAACTACAAAACATTATTGAAATTAATCTTTAAAAATATAAATAATGGAAAGATCATGTTCATAGACAAAGTTTTCTATAGATTCAAAGCAATCCCTAACAAAATTCCAACTGGTTGTTTTGCAGAAATGGACAAACCAATACTAAAATTGAGAGGAAAATCCAGTAAAGTAAAAGTAACCTTAAAATGGAAGAAAGCTGGAGGAAATGTAAAACCTACTACATAATCTGATTTCAAAACATACTACAAAGCTATAGTAAGCAAAACAATGTGGAAATCACATTAGGATATCAACAGGAAAAAATTGACAGAAATCAAGTCTTACATTTATGGCAATTTATTTTTGACAAAGGTGTCAAGACAATTTAATAATAAAAAGCCTTGTGAAAACTTGGAAAACTACATATCCACATGTAAAAAAAATGGATTTGGAACCCCACCTCACACCAAACCTGAACTAAAAGGGGATCATAAACCTAACTATGAACACAAATACTATACAAATTTTAGAAAAATTATAGGCATAAGTCTTTATGACCTTAGATTATTTAGTGTTTTCTTAGATGTAACATCAAAATCATAAGCAACAGAAGGAAAAAAGGGAGTAAACTGTACCTCATCAAATTAAAAATTTTTGTGCTGTAATGATACGAAATGTGGTTGGGAGCATAGCTTGGTGGTATAGCACTTGCCTAGAATGCATGAAGTCCTAGGTTTCATCCTCAGCACCACAAAAAAACAAACAATAATAACAATAACAAAAGAGCTAAGAATGTGAAAAGACACCCCACAGGAGAATATATTTCCAAATCATATATCTCAAAAGCACCTTGTACATGAAATCTGTAAAGAATCCCTACAACTCCATAAAAAGATGAATACAATAAGCCCCAACTTACAAATACTTGACTTGTGAACTTCCACAAATATAAACAGACCTTGCATTACAAACACTCCTAGATGTGAACAAATTGCAGAAGTGGCTCATGTGTCTTCAGAACATTGTCACAGTTGTGATCTTGTTTGCTTACTGTACAGTGTGACAGTGTTCAGAGCCCAGGATGTCCAGAAGTAAGAAGAAAAGCAGTGGTGATGTGGAGGGGACGGCTGGGAAGTGGAAAGTGATGTGTACTGTGTATTTGTGTCAAAGGTGTATAGGACTCACTTTGTCAGACTTGTGAAGTGGAACACATTCCTAAACTGAGGACTTACTGCAGTCTAATTAATAAGTGCACACAGGATTTGAATAGTCATTTTCTCCCCAAATGAATACATACAGTCAATAACCACATGAACAGATGTTCAACATCATTTACTATTAGGAAAATGCAAATTGAAACTACCACTTTTCACCTGCTGGGATGGCTAGAATCAGAAAAGCAGACAATAACCACTGTTTTAGAAGATGTCAAGAAATCAGAGACCTGACACATCGCTGATGGGAATGTAAAATGCTGCAACCACTGTGGAAAACATTTTGGCAGTTCCTCAAAAAGATAAGCCAAATTCCTATATGACCCAGCAATTCCACTTCTAAGTATAACCAAGAGCACTGAAAGCAAGTGTTCAAATAAAATCTTATTCACAAATCTTCACTGCAGCATTATTTGTAATAAACAATCAGTGGAAACAAACCAAAGGTCTATCAACTGACAAATGGATAAACAAAATGTGGTATACGCATAAGATGGCATACCACTTAGTCATAATAAGAAATGAGCTACTGATTTATGCTACAACATAGATGAACCTTGAAAATAGTATACTCTGCTAAAAAAGCCAAACACAAGACTCTGTATTATATGATTTCACTATATAGTAAAGTCCAGAATAAGCGAATTCATGGAGACAGACTAGGGAAGGGTCTGTCCATGGGTAAGAGGTAACAAAGGTAAAGGGTAACAAAAAATTTCTTTCAAGGGTAATAAAAAATTCTGCTGGTAAAGATTATTGTGACTGTTGCCCAACTCTGTGACAATATTAAAAACTATTTAACTATACACTGCAAATAAGTGAATATTATGAAATATTATTTTCAATAAAGATGTCTGAAAAAAATGAATTCATGAGCCCAATCTCAGTCTAAAAACAAAACCAGAACTGTACCTTTCACCATATACAGATTAACCCAAAACTGATAATACAAGTAGATGTAAAATTTAAGATTACAAAACTTCTAGAAGTAAATATATGAAAAAATCTCTCTGACCTTGAATTTACAAAGGTTTGACACGAAAGATAATTCATTTAAAAAATAAATTATACATAACAAACTTTAATTGCTGCTATTTGAAAGCCAATCTGAAAAGAATTTAAAAAATCCAAAGACTAGGATACAATATTTGTGAATCAAACACCTGATAAAAAAAAATTTACCCACAATTTCTAAAGAAATCTCAAACTTGATCCTAAGAGAACAAATGACCCAATTAAAAAGTAGAAGATTAGAAAATACACTTCAGTAAAGGAGCTATGCAGATGGCAAGCAAGGTCTTGGAGAGAAGTAACCCTCTGGAAAGGTGATCAGCATCATCAGCAGCTTTGTTTTTAGTAGTCCCTAAAACTGGAAACAACCTCTAAAATGTCTATCAAAGATCAATTGGTCAAAAAATTGTGGGATACTACACAGAAACAAAAGAATTACCTATCTATGTAATTAACTACACAAGCTAGTCCTAATTATGCCAAATGATAAGTCAGAAAAAAATCAATTTTGATTTTTCAGATATTATTCCACGAAGATTTCCAATTTGACATTTTCAATAAACCTTGAAATGCTGCTAGTCTGGCAAAGCCTAACATTCTAGTCAGAGTCTATCTATGAATTTACAAAGGAGTCTAAATGTGGAACAGTGTATCATTTTATTTCTATGAAACTCAAGCAAATGCAAACTAATCTATAGTGACAGAAAGCAGATTAGTAGTTGCCTGGGGAAGAAAGAATTGAAAAAAGACAGGAGGAAGCTATGGAGAATAATGAATTATGTTCATTACTTCGATTGTGGTGATGATTTCATCACGTATGTGTATATTAAAACATATCAGGGCTAGAGATATGGATCAGTGGTAGAGTGCTGGCCTAGCATGCACGAGGCCCTAGCTTCAAGCCTCAGCACCCCGCTAATATCCAAATTGTTCATTTTATCATATGTCAATTATACCTAAACAAAGCTGTTACAAATTTGAAAATATCTTACAAAAAATAAGGAAATGAAAAGCATTGTATATTACTGTCTTTGAATTCATGGAAAAACACATTGAAATAAAAATAAAACTCCTAAAATAAAAATGGCAAAACAAGTACAATGTCATAATAGCTAGGAAAGACAAACTCTCCCCAACTTTTTATTTACAATACTACTTTAATCATTAATTTTATAACACTGCAATTGTCATGTGAGACATAAGCCAATTCTTCCAAATTTCAAAGTTTGTCAATTGCAGATATTATAATATACTACTAAGATTCCCAATTTGACATTTTCTTTTTCTTTTTTGTTTTTCCTGTACCGGGAATCAAACTCATGACCTCAGGCTTGCCAGGCAAGCGCCCATACCACTGAGCTACATCCCCAGCTCCCCCAATTTGACATTTTCAATAAAGTTTAAAATGCTATTAGTCTGATGCAGTCTCATCTTCCACTCAGAGTCTCTCCACAAACTTACAAAGGAATCTAAATACCTTCCCCCCAATAGAAAAAAATGATAGTAACAATGGCATCACAACCAAGCTACAGTTATGGCTATTAACTTATGTTCGGTCAGCAATGTACACGATTAGTAAACTTTTCCATACAGGTATCTGTTTTAGAAATGAATTTAAAGCAGCTTTAAATATTTATTAGATAACTGCTGCAATTATCTACTGGAGCTTACTTGGAGGCTATCAAGAGAAAGTATTAGTTTTCGTATTCAGAAAACATTATTCATTGCTATTGTGAAGACTGGAGCTTTCATGTAACAAATTAACATTTAAATGACCATCTTGATAGGTAAATAATTACCTGTGAGACACCCAGCTTTTTACAAGCATCCAAAAAATTTTCTACATTTCTTCGACATTTTGCCATGCTCAGCTTGGGCTGTAAAGAGGGAAAATATGCATTTTCAAGCATTTTTATACAGAAATTTATTAAAAATGAAAAATGAATTTATTGAAGTATATTATTTAACATTTTAAGAAGCTATATTTTCTTTTGGAGAATGGACAAACTATAGACATAACTTACCACTGCTGGCGATGGTACATGAATACTAGCTACAGAGCGTGGCCTTATGTGATTGGCTAAATGGCAAAGAACAACGCCATCCATCAGTGCAGCTCCAATATCATCAGGCAAAATTACTTTTAACCTGGATTCGAGATTCTACAAAGAAATGAGAACAAATCACTGATAGTCTATCTAAACATATGTCATATACTTACATTACTAATGGTTAAATAAATAGTTGTATCTTATCAATTTTCCAAGCTAAAACAATTTCTAGAAAGCAGATCTGAAAGGTCAATCTGACTTACATTCCGAAGTTGTCGTATTTGTTCTCGCTCTTCCCGTAAATGTTCCATCTTTCTTCTCATTGTAAATCCTGGATCTGTTGCCCCATATTCCTGGCGAGATGAGCGGCTAAAAGCTTTATAAAAACAGAAATTTCTTAACTTATTACAAAGCTAATAAAAGGAAAAAGCATTGATGGAGAAAATGGAATGGTAGAATCAGTACAAAATTACAGAGAACACGAATACTTATTAATACAGTCTAAGTATTTTTTCTAGTATAAATTTGAATTTTACATAATTGAAAGCAACAAGGACCACAAATGTAATGATTTCTACCACCTACACATGTTCTTATTTAAACATATGGTATTCAAAAGTCATGACCCAAGTACAAAGTCATTATTGAAGATGCCAATTATTCATTTTAAAGAAAAAATTATTCTTGAAGATCAATATAGTTATTTGGGAATAAAAACTATAATTTAATATCTCGCCAAGGAATATGGATCCATTTTCTTTTGGGCTTGCCAAATGTGAAGAGATACCTTTTTAAAACCACAAAAAAATAAGAGTTCTATAATTTCAAACAGTGTTTGGTCTGCTAGCAGAGTGATCATTCTAACAGCAATCACACAAAAGTGGAACTAAGACTTCAGTATATCTAAGGCAAAAAGCTGAGATTTTAGGGCCTTCAAAGTAAAGAGGAAGAAAGAAATGGAAATGGGAATTGCAAAGACAAATAAGGTTAATGGACAGTTACTTTTAGGAGAAGGGAAAGAATCTATGTGCACTTAAAACTGTAAAATCAATGCCATTTAAGCATGGAAACTTCAATTTTAAACAAAAATAAAATTTATTCAAAAATATGTATTTACCTGATCTAGGCTTCAATCCAAAGGGACCATGTGAAAAAGCATCAGTTCTGTCATATTCCTAAAAACAGAAAAAAAAAACCCTCTTTTTGCAAAATAATCAAGGTACATATACATATCCATTCCAAATTGACTCACCTTTTTTTTCTACGATTAGTGGAAAAGAGAAAAGCAACTGCATTTCAATTCAAGTTGATAACACACCACTTCAAAAAAGTCAATACGTAGGCTGGGTGTAGTGGTGCACCCTGTAATCCCAGCACTGGGGCGGCTGAAGTAGGAAGATGGCCACGAATCTGAGGCCAGCCTGGGCTACATAGTGAGTTCCAGGCCAGCCTAAACCTATGTAGTCAATAAATATTTGCAAATTGACCTGACTATGCCATTAAATACTTCTCTCTCGCAGTATGAGGAAAATGGAAAGATCATTACCAAAGTGTATAAAATATTTTTTTGGAACAAAAAAGATTAAAATCTCTAAAGTAATGAAGTACAGTATATTGTACTGACAGATTTATAGATTTACCAACACTTATTCTGTATCTACTGTTGACTTTATACTCAAGAGTAGATATTCCAAGGCCAATCTACATATTTATGTTAAAAGGGACTATAGAATAATAGATCATGATACATTATTATCTTATACCTCAATGCACACTGTCTCAAAGTTTTTTCACATACAGTGGTGTGCTATGGAAGGTTATGCGTCGCATGAAACAAATCTGAACTTGGGAATCAGAAACCTTAGGCTATGTCTTGAGCACATTTAATTTTTCTGCAATTGATTCTTCACTTTTCAAATGAGATCACTGTGAACATTAAATGAGGTAATTAAATGAAAGTTCTTTGTGAAATGTGAAGTGATAAAATAATGTAATCTTAGCAGCATCTTATTTAATCTGTGAAACAACCCTGTTAAATAAGTAGGATCTATGCTGTAGTCACTTCTCTATTTGTTGATTGGGCTCTTTGGAAAAATTATGTGTTGCTTCAGGTGTAAAATGACGAAGATGAAACTTAGTCATAGCAATACTTTTTGGTTTAAATGTAAGAGCAAACAAATTGTTAAAGTACTACACTAATTGTTGTTACCATTTTTTCCACATGAAATTGAAGCAATCAGAGTTCTGCAGTGTCTGAATCTTTTACTGATTAACAAGCAATATGTAGTTTAAATTGGATGCTAGTTGAATGACAAAAACACAGCCTTACAGTTTCTTTTTTTTTTGGTTTTTCTCCGGTACCGGGAACCGAACTCACGACCTTGCGCTTGCCAGGCAGGCATTTTTGCCGCTGAGCTAAATCCCCAGCCCCCAGCCTTACAGTTTCTTTTCACTTTTTTGGTAAAATAGTTATGAATTCCTATAAAAAATTTTATTTATCTGAACGCAAGCAAAAATATAAAAGCAACACAAATTATGTGAGAAACTTGGCAGTAATAATCTCCTCTGTAAACATAAATTGTAACATCATAAAGGAACTGGGAAAACAAGTAGGAGTCACATATATATATATTTTTTTTCATTTATGTATTTATACTTGCTATAATTTAAAGGAAGGATTTACAGAAACATGTGACAAAGAATAATTTTGGGATATTATAATTTAAATTATTTTCTAAAAGCATATAATATTTTACCTTCCACATAAATAATTCAGAAAACTCATGCCCAACAAATCTATATAAATATTTTATAAAGCAAGTCACATGAAACAATAAAGAATCCTGACTTTCTAAGAAAGTAGTGATATTTAACATATTGTGAAATATTATCTGCATAACCAAAGTGAAGAATTTGGGTCACCTGAACATTTAGATAAATCCTGAATTTACCAAAGGAATGCATACTAATTTATTTACTAATGCCAGTGCACTTTATAACACTAAATAAGATAATCTAAAGTAGAAAAGATACTGCTTAGAATGTTTTAAATTTAAACCATTTGCTGTAAAACCAGAGGTTAAAGTAAATTAGAAGAATCAGTCGTTTAAACCACCAGAGTATTTGATCAATCTGAATTGTACTAACTGTGACTTTCATATACTGGATCTCCCCATGTCCACTGCCCTCTAACGTGCCAGGAAATGTGTAACCTTCTGTCGATAGGAACAACCCACTACAGGGATGTTTCTCGTGGAAAAAGGAAATTTCTCTTGCATTGCTTTCAGACCTAACTGGTTACAAAAAAAACCAAAGGCCATTGTACAATGCTAAAGTGCCTTTTCAAATCAAAACTTTAAAGCTGTTTTTAAGATTCAACATTTATTTAAAAATACAGTGGTACCTCTGTTCATGAACTTGATTCTTTCCATGGTTTTGGTAGCAAAACGAGTTGGATGAGAACCAAATCAAATTCAATGGTCGGTTTCAATAAAGACCTTTTGGGGAAATTTGACTAAATTCTCATGCAGTTCAGTTTGCTACCAGAATCATGGAGAGAACTGCTTTGCCAGCTGAGGTACCAATGTACAGATAAATTAGAAAGCAAACATTTCATAGCGCTTTCTTTTAGTGATCTATAGATACTTTCCACCCAAAATCACAAACAAGGGCTATTTAACATGAATATTTACATAAAAATGGTATCCTTAAAATCTTTCAGAAAGGTTTGTACACCGTAATCTACCACAGATTCTACAATAGAAGTGAATAAGCTACTTTGTTAATAAAAGAAAAGATGACAGTAGACAAGAGGCAAGGAAAAACCCTACATAACACATAGAGGACATATGAAAACATACAAACGTACAAAACGTACAAAAACAGAACTTGTACCTCAGATGATACTGGAGATTGTGGTGACATATTAGCATAGTCACTGTCTTGCTAAAATATAAAAATGAAAGATGAAATTAAAATAGAAAATGATTTAAACATATACTATGAAAGGAAAACTGAAAATTGTTTTGATGAGCTGCTAAAGAAAGGAATCTAGAATGTACTTCTAGCATTCTGGGTCTCAAAATGTGATTTGTGAAGCAACAGAGTAGGCATCTTGGCCCTAACCAAAAATCAAAATCTATGTAAGATTCTGAAGTGATCCTTAAGTATTTTAAAGTTTGAGAAATACTGTCTATACACAGTAGCAGTGATGTGTTACAATCTGAGACAAGTAAGTAAAGGGATGCAAAAATTCCATCCCTCCAATAAGAACTTTTATCAGGAAAATTATGTGAAGAAATATAAGCTTAGAAAAAATTAGAAAGAATTTACTTGAAATAAAGGAAATGAACCATAATTTTTGAGTGACCTACTGCAAACCAAATACAAAAAATCTTGACCTTTAACCTGGAATATGCACAATGTATCAAACATTTATTCATTCGACAAATAATTATTGGCCATCCACTATATGTCAGACACTATGTCAGACACTGGAAATATTGACAGTTTGTAAAATACCATTCTTGAAGAATCTCTTACTCCAGAGGGAAACAGATCCACATGTACTGATCATGAAACATCCTCACTCTGTAATGGCAAATGATGAGGCACAGACCAAATGATGTTAGAGGATGCAGGGGAGAGCGGGGCCATATGAAAAGGGCAAGTTTCCTGAGGAAGTGAAACCTTAAGTGAAAGCTGGGTGCAGTGGGGCACGCCTATCCTCCCCACTGCTCCGGAGGTTGAGGCAGAAGAACTGTTTGAGCCCAGGAGTTCAAGAGACAGCGTAGTCTGAGTGTTTATCAGAAAAAGATGGATGTGAGAGGGTAATAACAAAGACACAAAAGTAATAACTGGAAAGATGAGGACAGAAAGGATATATTTAAGCAGTTCTTTATTCTAGAGAGTAAGGGGAAGGAGGGCAACCTCTGAGTTGAGGCTGATGTGCTAAGCAAGGCCTTAATAAAAAAATAATACAAAATTTACCTTTTAAATTACAGGGAGAAACTGAAGATTTCTGAGTCAATGGCCCGATTATATTTGTGTTCTTTGAAACCTTTCTGGCTGCAACAAAAATGGACCAAAGAAAGGAAGAAAAGCAAGGGAACTACTGGAGCAACCCTGGCAAGAAATGATGAAGCCACCATGGAAAGGAAGGTGGAGAATGCATGCAGAATATTTTAGTAGCCCCGGGGCTGGGGATTTAGCTCAGCGGCAAAGCGCCTGCCTGGCAAGAGCAAGGTCGTGAGTTCGGTTCCTGGTACCGGAGAACAACCAAAAAAAAAAAAAAAAAGACAGGAATATTTTAGTAGCCCCAAATAAATAGACCAGTAAATAAATAAACAAATCAGTAGGTCTTGGAGATGGATTACATATTGAGGCTAACGGAACAAAAATGAGTATAAGGGGACAAGAGGAGTGGCCAAGTTGAACTCTAACTTGGTGTTCAGTAAATGTTTTCTGTAAAAGGCCAGAGTAAATATTTTCAGTTGTGTGGCCCGTATGGTCTCTGTGGCAACTACTCAGCTCTGCTACTGTAATGCAAAAGCAATCACCAGTATTGCTCTTTCCCAATAAAACTTTATTTACAAACTCAGCCAGAGGGCTAGATTTGGCCTTGGACCATAGTTCACCAACTCCTGCTTTAGTGGGATGACAGACGGTGATTCCACCAACACAAGTCTCAACCTTGACTACACATTAAACTCACATGAGAAATTCTAAGGAGTTCATTGTCCCGGCCACTTGACATTATTCCTGGGCCAACTACACCTGAGAAGCTGAGGGTAAGATACAGCACCAGTATTCTTTAAATCTCGCAGGTGATTTTAAAATGCAGCTAAGGTTGAAAAGCACTGTACCAACTGAAAAAGTGTGTTTAGAAGAAAAACATGAAAAACAAATGAACATACTGAGCCCTAAGTAGGTGTATGAGATATATCCAGAGGAGATTCTAAACAGGTAGAAGATGGATATAAGATTATAAGGGCCTGAAGCTCAGGGGAGAAGTCTGGACTAGAAATAAAATTGAGAAGTAGCAGCAGGTACACAAGTGTTATTCACTGAAATCTTGCCAAGCTGATAAACTCACCCTAGAGAAAACACAGTGGGCCATCATTTGGAGAACATTTATCTCTAAGAGGAAATATGAGATTTACAGATGTCAGTGAATCTGTGCAATGGAAAGCTGGGGTCAAGGATACAAGAACTGACTGTGTTTACGAACTAGGAAAGGCCCGGTGTGTTGGTGCACACCTGTAATACCAGCACTGGGGAGGCTGAGGCAGGAGGATGACTGAGAATACGGGGCCAGCCTGGGCTACCAGGTGAGTTTAAGGCCAGCCTAAACTGCATAGTGAGACCTTGTCTTGAAAAAAAAAAGAGACACTAGGTAAGTATTACCAAATATACCCATACAAAACATGTCATTCAGACTTAACCATAGATACCAACAGTAAAAAAACGGCCAGCTTTGGCATAACTGTCATTTTTTTATCCCAGTAAATTCTACTGGGATAAAGCACACAGAGAAATATTGGCATTTGAGCTGAGGAAAAAGAAATCATCTAGTTCTATTCATTATTTTTGTGCGATTTTATTTCCTAGAAATAAAGGCATTTTCAGAAGCCCAGCTAAGTATCCAACATCAAATTAACTACTAATTTTCTCAACCAAAAAGAACACAAAACTTAGGTATTTATAGTGATGAGAATGTATCATTTCAAAAATGCTAGTCTGCTACACAGCTTAATCTTGTACAATAGAAAAGCTTATAGTAATGTATCAACTATATACATCCAATTAAAAATTTTAAAATACTGCACAGAATTTGTTCAAATAATTTCTAAAAGGAGTTCCTAAAAAAGTCTCAACTGACTACCATGATGATTTAAGAAGCTAAAAGACAGAAAAAGGTAACATTTAAATTCATGGATTATAGGCTTAAGACAAATATTAAGAAAATTCTAAAACTAATCTATTAGAAATTCTCTTCTACAGGACATACAGAAATCACGTGATTAGATTAATAACTGTATGGTAATGCCCAGAAATTTTTATCATTAGAAAAACCCGTACACTAAATCCGTAACAATGACACTAAAAGATGGATTGTTTTTAACTGATCGAGCCAACTAAACACTAAAAGTAAACATTTCAAATAATAATTAATATTACCCTCTTTTACTCACCTCATCATTTTCATTGCTGCTTGAACTCTTCCTCATTGATTTGTACTGAAAAACATTTAAAACACTTTATTTTTTCTTCAACATTGTCTACCAGCAAATTACATGTGAAGTTTATTCGTACTTTGATAACTTTATTAAACTACCTGATATTAAACCAGTTCTACTACTAACACATAATGCTTTCTATGTACGAGGCGCTGTTTAAAATACTGTCAACATATAAAGTAACATTTCCTGCCTAAGTCAATCCCACTTCCCACTTTGTCAGGTTTGCAACCTGCAGGTTGTGTTAGAGACTTCTTTCTTAATTCACGATATCCACCATGTCAAAGTCAGTTCTTCTACAATCTGTCTCTGACTTACGTCTTCTGAATTTTTATAACTATCACCCTATCCCAGATCCTCATTATCTCTCGGCTGGTCTGTAATCTCATTTTTCTAAGATGTTGTCTATAATTCAGCAATCTACTGATTTCAGGCTTTAAAAGAACACTGCACTAAACATACATACTGATTATATAATAATAGTAATAATGATAATAGCTGACACACTTTCACTTACTACATACCAGTATTGATTCAAGTACCTTATCCGTATTAACCATTTAATTTCCATAACAACCCTATGAGGTAGTACTGTTAGCCTTGTTTCACAATGACACACAAAGATAACGTGCTAAGTATAAAAAATACTAGCATGTGTCAAAAAGGTTCTTAGAGTCAAGTAAAGAGAGGATGATAACCACTGAAGTTCTGATTCTTCCCCGCTGGAAATGATCCTGTAAATCAGTAACAGACTGTGCTGCTGCTTCCAACTCATGACTATGCTATTGAAAAAATTACTAATTTTTAGATTATATCCAAACCTTTTCACCTGGAATTCAAGGTTTTATTTAATGGTCCCCTTTACTTATGTAGCATTATCTTCCATGTTTCTTGGAAAAATAATCTACCTGATATCTTAACCACAAACTGGGGAGTAAACTGTGATGGAATTAGAAATATGACATATGTTCCTTTACTGTCTCTCCTTTGACAACTACAATTAAAACTTTCCCGCTGATTCCAGACGTAGCTTCAATATACCTTCAACCCAGTGTTTGAGAAAGCCATGGAGTAGGGCTGGGGAGATAGCTCAGTGGCACAAGCACTTGCCTGGCAAGCACAAGGTCCTGAGTTTGATTCCAGGTACCAAACCAAAAGAAAAAAAAAAAAAAAAGAGAAAGCCACGGAGTGAAGCATGAGCAAAAAATGAAAGAAAAGAAAAGAAATCAATTTGCCATCCCTAGGCATGATGATGCTTGCTGAAGTAAATTATCTTTGGTTTTATTCTACTCTGACGAAATAGTCACATTTGAGGGAATAATATGCTAATATTTATTAAATGATTATGCTGCTTCCAGTGCTATTGTAAGCACTGTATGTTATTAAATAATTTATTAGTTATAACAGTCTTATATGGGAAAGTACTATTAGACTCATTTATAGATTGGAAAAGTAATAATAAAATCAGCAAGATTACACGACTTGCCAGAGTCACATAGTAAGTATTCAAGTAAGGACCAGGAACTAAGCGATTTGATTCTAAAAGCTCAAGCACTATGCTATATGCTTATGTATACATCTCGAATGATGACTAGGAATATGCCAGGAATAAAAGGCCTGGCTAATAGGTATTCTCAGAAGGAAGCACAAAGAAATAAAAATGCACAGCCTATGTGGGAAACAAAGAGTACGTCAGTGAAGCTGGTGAGGAGAGTGAATTGTGGCAGGTAATGGAATGTAGAGAAGTAATAAGGAATGGTCCATGAAACTTTGAGCAGTCCAAATTGTATCTTACTGGTATTAGAGAGCCAATAAAGAAATTTTTGCCTGGAGTTGCTCAAAGGGATTTATGAAAGGGGAACTATTAAGAAAATATTACAGTTATCCAGACAAGAAAGTATGTGTTCCAGCAAAGATAAAGGCAATAGAGACAGAGGGGAATAGGAAGAGGGACACCTATCATTAACAGTGACAGTGATGAGCATAACCTTATTGTGAACTTGATTGGATTATGAGACGCCTACAGAGGTGGTTTGATTGTGACGGTGCTGACCTCTTCAATGAATTAATGCACTGAAGAGTTCCAGGCTGAGTGGCCTATTGGGAGGTGGACCTCCTGGGGTCATCTTTTGAAGGGTGTATCTTCTCTGGCTTGTTTGTGCTCTCTCTGCTTCTTGGGTGCCATGAATTAAGCAGCTTTCCTCTGCCATGCCCTTCTGACCATGAAGTTTCTGCCTTATCAAAAGCCCAAAAGCAGTGGAGGCCAGCTGACTAGGGACTGAAACCATGACGCAAAATAAACCTTTCCTTCTCAAAGCTGACTTTCTCAGGTACTTGGTAACAGTGACAAAAAGCCGCTTAATACAATGACCAACCACATAAGAAGAATGAAAGAGGGAAAGAATAAAAAAGGACTGAGGTACAGAGCTTAGACAATGGAGGAGACACTGCTACCATTAACTAAAAGAATAGAGGAGAAAAATCTGAACATATAGGGTGGGAAGAAAAGACACACTAAATTTAAGATACATGTAAGGCATCCAGACAATCAGAAACACAGATGTAGAGAACAGACAATATTATGGGATGTGACTTTAGACTCAGTAGAATAATAAGAAACATCTGGAGTCATTAACACTCCAGAGAAAGCTTTCAGAATAATAAAGAGGACAAGACTCTAACAGCAAGCAGAAGTTCAAGGACGGTAGAAGGATATCCAAACAATCAAGGAAGATTGATTCCTTCCTCCCTTTCCTTCTTTCTTTCTTCCATTCCTTTCCGCCTTCCCTTTCTTCCTGGAAATGAAACACAAGGCCTCCCACATGCTAGGCAAGTGTTCTACCACTAGATACATCCCTGGACGTACTGTGGCTATAAGGACACCAAATTTTCTATCTTAGAATAGTAATGTTCACAGTAGTGGCTTGTTCTCCTATTATAATGTATTTACTGAAATAACCTGACTCAATTTATTTTCTTGCTTACATACTCAGGCCAATGGGCTGACATTCTTTTACTTAGTTTCAGGGGCTTACCTGAAAAAAAATACTATCCTACATTAGTTTTGACAACTGAGATTTTAAAATGAGGAGTCTAACTTCACATACACACACTCATACACACATTGTATACATATGCAAACACTTTCAGTACATGTACTAAAAGCCAGCTCCCAAATAATTTACCATGGGAAAGAAACAAAGATATTTTGTGGCTTCGTCATTTATATACGTTAGGATAAGTTGCACAAAAGCTTTGTATGTTTTATAACACAGCAAGCCAAAGGAGCCATCACTAGCCAGCAATAATTTGGTATAAACCTTCTTAGTACTGTATTTTATTCTTTTCTTGTATTTTACCCTTTAACTATAGATCCACATTAGGTTCAGCAATAGACCCTATAAATAACCTTTTCGATTCTCTGGAGAACTGTGATTAAATTTCTTTTCTACCTTTAAAAAAAGATACTTGGGGCTGAGGATTGAGCTCAGTGGCAAAGCGCCTGCCTGGCAAGCGCAAGGTTGTGAGTTCGATTCCTGGTACTGGAAGAAAAACAAAAACAAAACAAAACAAATAAAAAAAGATACTTTATAGAAACTCATGGATGATATTTTAATCATGAAAATATTGGCAATTCTGAATTATAGTTCAGATTTAATTTAAAAAGTAGTATCTTAGTGCTAAGCACATGGTCTACCACTGAGCTACACCCTCAGTCCCGCTGCATGTATGTTTTCTTGATGTAGAGAAAAATTGTTAATATCGTTCAAACCTTTCACAATGTGCTAACACTGACATCTTCTGACAGTTGAGGAGAACTGCACATCTTCTTAAACCTGCCCCATGACTGAAATTTATGTTTGCACCCACTTTATCAAGAAACAAGCAACATTTACTGAGGATTATGTAATGGGGACTTCAAATATTATCCCATTTGATCTCTTAACAACTTTCTAACATAACCTACATGGTAGAAGAAATGTTTTAAGCCATAAAAAATTAATAAATAATGCTATTAAACAGAAAATATATATATTTTTTCTTTTTTGAGTCAAGGTTTTGCTATGCAATTCAGGCTGGCTTTGAACTCACTTTGCAGTCCAGGCTGGCCTCAGACTCATTGGGATCCTCCTGCCTCAGCCTCCCAAGTGCTGGGATTACAGATGTGAACCACCACACCTGGCTTAAGGGCTTATTTTTTTTAGCAGTGAAATTGAATTAATTTTAAAGTATTTGTTCCTTTGACATTAAGCTATCTACAGTAAATAAAGAAGCAGCATAACATAAACTCTGAATTCAAATGTTAACTCTGCTTATTAGCTAAGTGAGCATTCTAACTAACCAATCTTTTTTTTTATTTTAAAGAGAAAAAACAACGATACAAAATTTCAAAACAAAATAATAGGAGATTAACAATGGTTAATACATTGTGTATTGTTATCTTCAAAGTAGTTGCTTGGATTAGAAGACATAAGCATGAAAAATTGATTAAACAGTATAAGCACAAACCTTTCTTTTCAATGAACTAACAGAAATTAGTAGAACTATCTTGTATATATATATATATTTTTTTTTCTTTTCCCTTCTTTCTTTCCCCTATCCCAATTGTTCTTTCCTTTTGAGCAGTTTCTTCCCATTTCGCAATATCTATTGTACATTTTAGATGTAATTTCCTCTTTCAGTTTCTACTTAGCCAATCTTGTCTTAAATTCTCCATTGATAGGACAGAAACAGTAATGACTGTACTTACCTCATAGGGTTGTTCCGAAGATGAAACGAGTCAATTATTTGTAAAGCACTTAGAGAAGAATCTGGCACTTAGTATTTGTTATATTACACAGGTGCTTTGATATAGTTTGATTATATTAGGATAAGGGAGATTAAATGAACATCAAATCTTTTATTATTCAGAAATACTAAAATTTCCCCCACATCATCATTTATCAACTTTTACCTATAAACAAATTTTGTTCAGTGCCTTGGTTCAATGTCCATGAACAACAAAAAGGAACCAAAACCAAAAAAAGTAAGTGCAGATCTTTAAAATGTTAGATCAAATAGACTTTTGGGATTGCTGATGAGGATTCTTCTTAGAATGTCCTTTCTTTTTCTTCGTTTCTTTTATTTCTTCAATATCTCTCATACTGGCCAATTAACACAAGTCCTACTAAAAGGGCTCAGCAATTATACGCTGTTGGCTTAAATTCTTCACAGACTTGCTAAAACATGTAGGTTTTTTTGTATTATAATACTACTTCCAAATACACATTATGTTCCCACATATGGAAACAAATGAACGTGCACTAAGGAAGATATTTCTACCTTAGTAGGAAAAACAGAAAGTAAACCCTATTTATTAGTGATATTAAACTGGATACTACCTATAATTTAACTAAATACTACATGTTTACATAAAAGTATTATTAGACAAGAATTATACTTTGGGAATAGAAAAGGTACAAAGACAACAAAATTTGCTACTTACAGAGCAGTAACAAGTTTGACTGTTCATTCAAGTCAAATGCCAACAATGACTTCTGCTTAGCATTGAAAATCAATATAAATATACTTGCTACATTAAAATACTCTAGCCTAGTTTCAACTAAAAACTAATTTAAAACTGATAAAATCAACATTAATAAATAAAAAATAAATTTTACAACTTAATGAAGTACCTTGAGATATTCTTTTCTAATCTGCTTGCTCCGCCTCCTCTCTTCACTTTGCCAAATTATAGGTTGAGATTCTGGCCACAGGTGCTCATCTATTTGATCCTTCTGATTTTCTAATGGCTGTAATAAGACAATTTCTTTTAAATAAATAAGAACAAGATAGACTATATGCTAATAATTTAATTTCCTCTTACCTGCCACGCAAGCAGTGATGATGGTGAATTAACTTCTTCTGCCGAGACACTGAAAAATTATAAAGATGCTTTAAGATACCTTGAAACATTGAGAAGAATCCTTTGATAGATATTATTAAATATCATAAAGTTGTCTTTTTTTGTAACCAAGAAAGTAAAGATTTTTCCATGCCATTACCTTCAACTAGTAACGTAAAACTTAATGCTAACAAAAACATATTTAAGTACCCAGTAACTGTTGCTCCACAGGAAACACCAAACTGAGTTTATTTTATATCAACTTTATGGATAGGACTACCCTGAGGATTTTGTAGAGGCCAAAAGAAGTTTAAAGTAAAGAAACATACAGTTGAAGGACAGACAGGAAGTTATTATACCAAATAAACTACCAAAATCTACTTTGTTTTTTGGTACCAGGAATCGAACTCAGGACCTTACACTTGCCAGGCAGGTGCTTGTGCCACTGAACTATATCCCCAGCCCACCAAAATCTAAAAAAGAAAAAAATCAACGAACAATTTCTTCTTAAAAAATGCGAAAGAGCTCAGAAAAGTATTTCTTTTTTGCCTTCTGAATCCAATGGAAACTATGCAGGAAATTTTTTGCATCTAGTTTTTCTGTTTGGATAAGGATGATTGTGCAAGGTCTCAGATGGTACATTTGAACAGGATTTCCACTGTAAAAATATATATATAAACAAAAAGCCCAGTAGAGCTGCAATTTTATAGCATTTCTTTGGAACTTCTGTACAGTAAAAGAAGAAAAAGACATAAATACTAGAAAAAAGATCAAATTTTCAAAATTCATAGATTGCCTGAAAGAAAAAACAATTATTATAAGAGGGAAGGTTACCAATTAAAGAAAATTGCAAAAGTTAACAGCTTTCTTATATATCAATCATGAGTTACACTGGAAAAATCTCATTCATAAAAGGAAAGAAAAGTATAAATTACCTAGGAAGAAACTTAGCTACATACGTATAATACCCACATAATAAAATTATAAATGTCTAATAAGAGATGAAAAATTTCTTGAATGATGAAAATGTTTTCATTCAAGATGAAAACATTCTTGAATGGACCAAGTACTCCAAACATAACTTCAGTTTCAAATTAACATCTGAAATGAACTGTAATAATAATAAGTATTTTTGGCTTGCTTCAGAAATTTGACAAAAGAATTTCAAAATTAATTTGGAAGAATGGATGACCAAAAAGAGAAAAGTTATATAATAAAGGGGATATGCCTATCAAGTAATAAAACGTATTATATAAAGCTATAGTAATAATGGAGCTGGGGTGCAGCTCAGTGGTAGAGTACTTTACTTTGTATGCACAAGACCCTGGATTCCATCCCAAACATACACACATACATACATGCATTCGCTCCAGAATCTGTAGATTTTTCAATGGAAGAAAGCAATACAGTACTACAGTCATAATGACTTATGATACCAGTGACATTTACAATCATTGTTGAAATGAAGGATTACATAACAAATACTATGGAGACAACTGCTTGCCTGCTTGTAAATCATACACAGAAAGACAAAGAGGTAGGAGGTAAAATAAGAAAAGGTGGGAGGGAAGAAAACTAGATTGCCTTCCCATTCCAAATATCAAAGTGAATGTAATAAAAGATTTATATATACTTAAATATTCAATTAAAAAGTACCTGAAAATTATGGGCAGTAGGTGGGCAGAGTGGTGAGCACCTGTATTTGCATCTACTTGAAAAACTGAGGCAGGAGGATCACTTGAGCTCAGGATTTCAAGATCAGCCTAGGCAACATAGTGAGAACTTGTCTCACAAAAAAAAACAAAAACAAAAACAAAAACAAAAAAACCCAGGAAGAAAAAATATATTGGCAGTCATTTTCAAATGTTGGGATTCACAGAGCCTATGGCAGAAACAATCAAAACCAAGCACTAGCAGATATAAATACAGAAAATATAAAAATTAGACAATAAGGCTGGGCATGTAGCTCAGTGGTGGAGTGTGAATTTAGCATATGTGAGGCCTTAAATTTCATCCCAAGGACTGCAAACAAAAACAAAAGCAAAAACACCTAGATTTTGCTTCTGGCCATGGCAGAGTAACAGTGACCAAAAATTAAAGCAATGAACAAAATGTATGAAAGTATGCTTTCTGAAAGGCATGGAATACCAAGCAAATAAAAGTATATTATTCCTTAGAGATGGGTAACAAGCAGGATGAACCCATGAACTGGCCAAATTGCTGCATGGAGAGAGTTTCCAGGCCACAGCCAGGGGAAGGAGGACTAAGGCAGAGTCTAAACACTCCCTCAATTTAAGAGAGAGAACTGGGAGAAGAGGAGAAAAGGTTAGGGTTCACAGAACAGAATAACAAAGGAAAAGGTAATGCATAGGGAGTTACACAAAGGCTTCTTTCAAAGTTTCAGCGGAGTTCTGATCACCTATCTACCTCTCTATGTGAAGAAAGTCAAATAGAAATAATCAGAAAACTAACGTTTACTAAGCACTTAGGTGCTAGGTACTAAGGCTGATTTAAAATTTTATCCAAAGCCTTATAGCTAGTAAGTGCTAAAGGAAGGACTCAGATCCAAATTTGCCTGACTTCAAGGGCCATGCTCTTTCACCTGTACCTGGCTATCTTGCCAACTCATTTCTCAATAGTTTATCACAACTCTTTTGTATGCCTGTAATGACCCAGGCTCATGCTGATTGCTAGAAAGGGCTGGAGACCTTGGAGAGTAGCTCACCAGATCACTACCAGTACAAAGTTATCCAGATGTTTAAAAAACTGACCCCTCTTCAGAAATCTAAGTACCCAGAATCTTTCTAGGTCATTCCTACAAGTTTGCATGTTGTCTAATGCCACCAACAGTTCATCATTTCTATTAGTTGTGGACTTGCATGTTCCAAATTCCTATTTTAAAATACAAGGACCAAGAACCTGGTGTGGTGGTCCATGCCTGTAATCTCAGCACTCTGGTAGGTTGTTGGAAGAGGATCTTAAATTCAAATCCAGCCTGGGAAACTTAGTAACTTAGCAAGACCTCATCTCAAATTAAAAACTTAAGAAAGAGCTGGATGTAGCTCATTGAGAAAACCCTGGATTCAATCCCCAGTACCAAAACAAAACAAAACAAAACAACAAAAAACAGGAAAACTAGGAAGATGACCCATTAGGAGGCCACTGTAATAATTCAAATAAGAGATGACAAGAAGTAGGCTGGCAGGATTGAAACTGGTAAGACATGATCAGATTCTGGAAATATCTGGAGGGTAGTCAACACGGTTTGCTAATGGGTTAGCCATGTGGTGTGAGAGACAGTGACAAAGTAAGCATCACTCTGGGGATTTTGAGTTGATCCACTAGGAAAATGGAGTTGACATTCTGAAACAAGGAACAACTCAGAAGACTTTGGTTTGAGGGTATAACAAGAGAGATTAAGAGTGTGGTTCTGACTCGGTATGGTGGCACACACCTGAAATTCCAGCATGCAGGAGGCTTAGGTAGGAAGGTCTCTATGAGTTCAAGGCCAGCCTGAAGTACACACTAAATTCAGGGCCAGCCTGAACTACAAAGCAAGATCCTATCTCAAAAGAAAAAAAAAAGAAAGAAAGAAAGAAAGAAAAAAAAGTGTGGTTTTGGAAAGTAAAGTTTGACATGCCTATTACACACCTGAGTGGAAGTACTGAGCAAACTGCAGTGTGTACAACTCTACAATGTGTGTGCATGTGCATACATACATATAAACAAGTACAAATATCTATGCACACATATAGAAAAAAAGTATGCTAAGGTTTGAATGTGATCGGAGTGTGTTCTCCAAAGACTCCTGTGTTAAAACTTTGATCTTCAGTGTGGCAATGTTGAGGTTCCGAGATATTTTAAGATGTGGAGATTAGCTCAAGGTAACTAGGTTATAGGGCACTGTCCTTGTAAAGACTTGATGTGGTTCTATGGGACATTCATTAGTTCTCAAGAAAATGGGTTGTATGAAAAAAAGTGAGCCTGAGCCTGAGCCTCAGCTTGAGCCCGAGCCCGAACCCGAGCCCGAGCCCGAGCCTGACCTCTGAATCTGTCTCGCTTCCTGTCATGCCATGGGATCCCTTCAGAAAATGCTCCAGCCACTGTGATACCATTTCATGAGGCTCTTAACAGAGACAAATAGAAGCTAGTACCATGCTGGTAAACCTCTGAAACTGTAAGCTAAAGAAATTTATTTTCCTTATAAATTGCTCAATCTCAGATAGTTTGTCATAGTAACATAAAATATATTATTACAAGCTCTAAAAGGGAAAATACCAAAATAATATGACTTGTCAATTCCAGGGAGTAAGACAGTGGGTGATTTTTTTATGTCTGCTAAATTTTCCAATATTTCAACATAAACTGTATTATTTTTATAATCAGGAAAAATAAAGAATTTTTGATTTTGTTTTTAAAGAAGGAACTAGGTGATTATCTTGTAAATGAGAAAGTAATAGTTGTGTAAAGGAAAAGCTAGGATTGACTACCACAGCTCTGAAGTTTGAGCAATTGGAGTTTTCTCAAGAAAAAGGAAGTTTGAGAGGAAGCTTAAGTGAGTGAAAGGAACTGAAGAAAAAATAAATAACAGGAACTTTAAAGAAATCTAAACTCTGAGATAGCAGAATCAGTAGTCAAAAGGAGAAAGAGTGGGTTAAATCTCATTAAGTAGAATTTGAAATAGGAGATACAGATAAAACTCAACCTTGGAGGGCACGCTTAGCATGTATTTATAAGGCCCTGGGTTTGATCCTCAATATCAAAAAAAGCTGGGGGTGCAGAGCTTCACCATACAAGATGGTAGGAGTTCAACAATGGTTCTTATACTGCATATTGTTGTTTTCAGATCAGTCATTCTGATTACTAGATGCAAGAGTGCAAAATTGGTCAAGAAAGAAGAAAATTTT